TAACATGACCATTTACTAGTTGTAACTCTCATGCCCCCCACTAACTCCAATAAAAAAACTCACATAAATATAAAACACTAAATAAAATAAAGTTTAATTTCTAACACTCTATACCTCTATAATCCATTAAGTTTTGCAACAATCTTAAAAGTGGATTAAAATGAAAATTGTTTTAATCTCCATCAGACATATGTTAGACATCTCAAAGATCGACCCCTTCAATGGGTCTTTCTTTAAACATTGGGCAGAAAGAGTTCAGTACAAGAAATACTATAGCGTCCAAAATTTAGTGGCCACCAAAAATAAGCGCCAATAAAACCCTTTTTAACGTGAATTAACGTGACATTTGTGTAGCCCCTTTCATTTCTTTCTCACCTCTCGTTGAATGTGCACCTCTTTCTCATCCACTCTGGGCTAAAAAAAAGTTCATTTCTTTCTCTCTCTCGATTTCCTTAAAAAAAAAAAAAAAAAAAAAAAAAAAAAAAAAAAAAAAAGATCCATCTGTTACTTATGCTAAACATTAATGATTATTGATAATATGCTTGGAAAAGCAAATCATGTGTGGTCTCTACAAAATTCATTGAATTTTTTTTTAGTTTTACTTAATTTTAAAGATCCAAATCTAGTGAAAAAAAATTAGTGACATTACTCGTGTTACGTGCATGTGAATTCAAGAGAGAAGAAAAGGAATGCTTGACACTCTAAAAGTCTTAGTTATATATTAACTGGATCATCACACAATCAACCGAATCATCTTGTTGTAGCAAATACGCAAAATAAATAACGTTATTCGAGAAATAATCAAGCAATCAAGAAGAAAAAAAAAAAAAAAAAAAAATCACATACAAGAACACAAGATATACATGATTCACCCAAATCTTAAGGCTGTGTCCATAGAGCGTACCGAACAAATTCACTATGAAAAAAGATGGAGAATTACAATAAAAAATTTTCTCTCAATTTCTCTCAATTACTCTCTCTTGTGTTGGTACAAATTAATCAATCATACAACATGTACGATGATCTTCTATTTTTCTTCTTACTTTTCTTCACACCCTAAAATCTTACTAGAGTTTATATATATATATATATATATATATGTATATATATATATATATATAGTCCCAAACTTGTCCTACAAAAACCTGTTTTTTGTATAGTCCAAAACCAATAAGAAATAAAAAACATATTAGAAAACTGAATTTCCATATAATTAAATCTTCCTAAAAATCTATATCTAATCACACACTATTATTTTTTTCTTGGTATATCTATATCTAATCTGTATTTATTTAAGTTACATTCTTCTCTTCTTTTGTAGGATGTATATTTTTCAAAATTTTGGTTCTATTAAGAATAGTAAAAAAACTATCATAAGGACCTTTATTAAGCTCGCGCCCTTACAAAGATTGGATTGCACGAGGCTATAAGACCAACCTCTTAACGCTTTCACCAAGTTATGAGCTGTTTAGGTTATATTCCTTGCAGAGCTGTTTGCAACTCATAAAGAGACTTAAGCATGTGTTACTTGTGATAGTTATTCTAAAATTGTATTGTATTGTTACTTAATTTTCTTAACTTTTTGAGAGTTACCTTTTTTTAGCTGTTTTTTCTTTTGTTAAATACTCAAACAATAAAGTCTACCTCCTTGGTCCCTTTATACCTTATTGACATGGTTTAGGCAAAGAGAAATACTTTCATTGTGCTTTTTTAAGTGCTTTTTCTTATATTGATGGAATTGAAAGAAAGACACTTGTTCTAATAAAAAGATGAATACCTTGATTAATTGATGGAATTGACAAAAGACACTTATTAATTGAAAAGAAACATTAAAATCATGATTAATTAACGGAATTGACAAAAGACACTTGTATGAATAGAACCATGAATATCATGATTAGTATATGAAACATTCACATAAGACACTTCTTACTTACTTCTTCTTCTTCTTCTTTTTTTTTTCTTTTTTTTTTTTTCGAAACTTTGAGATCGCGTATAATACTTGCATCCAAAGTCACTGTAACAAAGGTAGATGAGTAGAGATTTAAACACGATCTTAGCATTTTCAATCTATTGTGTTTTCAATGTATGACATATATAACAAATGGAATTTGTTGGATAAGTCATTAGAATAAATTTAGTAGGTTTTTATTTATTGATGGAATGAGAAAAGAAACTATATATGGGATAGCCCCAAGTCCATTGATAATTTTAACTTAAAAAATAAAAAATAAAAAATAAAAAAAATGTCCATTGATAATATTTAACCTTCACTTTCATCTTTCCTGCATTCCTAATACCTTTTCATTGAATTTTTTAAGTAGTCCTGGTTGATAATCACTTGACAAATTACATGTTGATTAAAAATTTGGTTTCCCCATCTAAAATTATTATATTTAAATTGCCAACCAAAAATTAATACTTGTATGTATACTGTTATATCTAATGATGGTGTTTTTGTATTGTGCACTTGGGTGCTAGTAGTACCATTTAATGTCCTCCAGGAACACAAAAACACCATCAGTATAATATAAATAATATATATATCAGCTTGAAGAACCTAACCTAAACCTTTAAAAAATAATAAATAAATAAAAACCTAGAAGTAAGAAAACTATAGAAACAGTTAAGTGTGGTTTTAAAACTTTCGGTTTTCTTATTGAGAGGTAGCTTTTTGTATTGGGCAAGGATTCTTATATAGTAAGACTGGGCTTTGAGCTTTGAAAGTTAGGATTTGGGCTTTGGTCGCCATTTGTTGGACACTGTGTTTGGCGCGCCATTTTCGAAAATGAGCCCAGCCCAGATCTCTAAGAACTGAAAAGGTGAAAGATATTTTGTAAAGTAGGGTTGCAATCAGTCACGTGACAATCCACAGCCACCATTAACCCACATAAGCAATAAGGCCAATGAATCAATACAACTCGTATTGGCATTGGGGTCACCAACACCCACACATTTAAACCCTACTTTTCTTCTTTATTTCAAGATGTCCGTGACTCTTTAAACCTTGGGTTGGGCTTTAATTTAACCCCACACAACCATCTTTCTCTCTCTCTACATTTTGTTTCACGTGAAATAAAGGAGGGGTTATGGTAGTGGGTAAGAGTCCATAGGAAGTAGTCCACAATTTCTTCCATTCTCCCCACTAAAAAGAACATTGGCCTAAGAAGCATTGTGTGGTTGCAGTAGGCCTTCTCGTGAGGCCAAAAATTAAATTGTATTATCTTTTTTTCAAGGATCTAATTACTTATTCTTATCCCAAAAAATGTTAATATTCTTAGATATACGTTGGAAGAAACTAATTAAAAGTATCATGTTTGTGAGAATTTATGTTCCATTTATATTTGTAGTGCAATTTGGGAGGACCCAATTCCAACTCAACTTAAATATAATTTAATTTTTATGGAAATTTTTATAATTAGGGTTGGCTTTGAGTTGAGGTATCGACAACTCAATTATGAACCGAAATCTTAATTTTAATTTTACTTTTATATATTCTTTTAGTGTTAATATGTTGTATATTTCAAATTATAATCACCTTTTTCTTTTCAATTTCTATTTGTTTAAATTTAAAATTTATTTTATATTATTACTTTGGAGAATTAATTCCCTAAAGAACTTGTTTGTAATTTTAAAAAAATTTAAATTAAATCATGAAAAAAAATCATTTGGAGTTTAAATCAAGATGTTTGTTATTTTTGTTTCTTTAAATTTTATATTATTTTTCTCATTAACTCGTAATATATCTTAAATTGCATTGAATTCCTTTTTTAAAAATAAATAAATAATTAAAGAACAATCATCGAAAACATATCTTGTCGTGTCTCAAACGCGTCCAACCAAAAAATAAAATATTCAATTTTAGAATATTTCTAACCACATCGGACGCATGTCCGGTCCATATCCATATATTAGACAAGTATCCGAGTGTCTAATATTACCCGTGGTATCTTAAACGAAGTATCAAGTGCTTCCTAACTAATTGACTATTATTGAGTCAGGGTTCGAACTAGTTATCTCAAACTCGTGGTCAGGGTCAATCCATTCTTGAACAACATCACTCGTAATGCAAGCTGGACTAGAGTTGACATTTTAACTCACCCATTTGGGTTGTACCCCTAATTTATACCATGGAAATTAAATAAACCTCCTATTATGGACCATGACATGTACTTTAGATACATGCCATTTGTTTATTGTGGCTCTCAACTCTCCTGGATCATTTAAGACATGGTCGACTATTTTAAATATTGTGCTTCGTGCGGTCGTATGAAAAATGCTACACCATATACTATATGGATAGGTGATATATATATATATATATATATATCCGATCATGATATAGAGTGATTGATTAAGAGGATCACTCTTAGTCCATTATCCGTGGGTAGAGAAAGTGGCTTTCGAAAGTCCTTATTTGCTTTAAAACTTGTGTTTGGTTTGACCTTAGTGTTTGTACTTTCGAGTAGACTAATATGTGACTGATGCAACTCAATTTCCTAACAGCGTAGACTAATATGTGACTGATGCAACTCAATTTATTAATTTGTATATTTTTGCTGGAAATTAATGGAAAACTGAAAAATTAAGAACAAATTATTATACTTGAGAATGCGATTGTTAATTTTATCATTTGATTAATCAACCAATGAAGTATATCTATAATACAAGAAGAATTAAGGGCCACATCCCTTTATTTTTTAGCTGGTAAATTAGCGAAATATCGACACTTTCTGCCAAAAGACAGTCATGCCCTCTTGTAAGAAGTATTTCTTCTCTCACAAAGTAGGATAAGTACTATAATTAATTAATACACACCTAAAAAGGAAAAGAAATTGCCTTTTCTTTATCAATCTTTCATGACAAAACTAGCACATTCAAGACTCTTCATGCAAACCTACTACAACAGTGACATGTGAGTGTCCATGGTCCACAAGATGAACTCAATGGCTTTTAAAGAGTAGGAAGAGAAGTAATATAAATAAGAGTCTGCATACTTACCATATTCCACCATGAGATAATCACTTGTTCACTCAACCAAGTTCTTTGTTTTCCAGTATATCGATCTCTAACCATTTCAAGCTTTCATTGAACTTTGTATCCTACAAAGTTTCAACTTAATTGGGTGTTTTTTTTCCTTCTTTGAAGAGACTAATATTTCTGATCACTATCATTCATCACCATGGCACCCCATGGAGAGGCCATTGTTAGGTCATCCTACACTAGGACTAACAATTTCACCAAGCCACCAAGGCTATCCAACGACAGCCTCCACCGGACAGTGTCCGACATCTCATTTGAACTGAGCAAAGAGGCCGCCATGGACATAAATCTGCCACCGATATCCGAGGTTGAAGATGCTAAGTGTGAGTGTTGTGGCATGAGTGAAGAATGCACACCGGAATACATAGATCGTGTTCGTGACAAGTTCTTGGGGAAGTGGATATGTGGGCTGTGTGCTGAAGCAGTGAAGGAAGAAATGGAGAAGAATGGAGGGAAAACTAGAGAAGAAGCTTTGAGTGCTCATATGAGTGCATGTGTTAGGTTTAATAAGTTTGGTAGGGCTTTTCCAGTACTCTCCCAAGCTGAAGCAATGAGAGAGATGCTAAAGAAGAGCACAAGGTTGGAAGGAAGAGGATTTAGGGCCAAATCCATCAGTCCTAGGGACAAAGGTGGCCAAAAGAAAGGTGGTATTGCAAGGAGCTCAAGCTGCATTCCAGCCATTACTAGGGAGATGAATAACCTCAAAATATCCAATTGACTCTCTCTCTCTCCCTCTCTCTCTCTCTCTCTCTCTATATATATATATATATATATGGACCAAAGTTTTCATTTATATATCTATTTCTTCCCTTCACTTTTAGATGGCTTGAATAGTTTTATTCTGGAATTTTTTCAAAGCCCCTTATGACCTCTAATCTTCAGAATAACCTTTACTTCTCTTCAGGGCTTTTGGGTTGGTATCCAAACTTTACCACGTCTAGTTAGTTTCTCTCTAGGTTTTTATCCTCCCCTTGGTTCATCAAGGACACAACTTTTTCCAATAGTCACCCAAGAAATTAGGGTTTTTTTTGGTTGGTCCTACTCTCTTGCCTCTTTTTCCCCACTTGGGGTTAGCCGGTTTTAAAATTTCCATTCACTCTCTTAGGTTCATTGGGATTGTCAAGCACCAAATCGGGACCTTGAATTTAGAATTAATTATAGAAAAATTAATTCAAAGTTAAACTAAATTTTCTTCAATTCCAAATTCAACTCACCAATTCAATACTCCCAAAGATAGCATCAATGTTTTTCTAATTTACCATGTAACTCTCTTCTTCTTTTTTTAAGGTGTGGTTAATGTTTACCTATTTCAGTCTTCTTGATTACCCACTAGTATCTTCTATGTTCATGTATATTTTAAAGCGTGTCGCTCTTTGCATGTATAAATATTAAAGCTTTTATTTGTAATCGTTATGAAGCCCTCACAATCTCCCTAACAGAAGGTTTTCAGTCATGTTTTGGCATTTTGAAGTGTTCTAATAATTAATACATATGTAACTAGTCATGAGAGAATTGATTAATGAATGTGTTTTTGTTGATTTATGTAATTGTGAAATTATCTTATTTCCTCCTTTTAATTATTTTGTTTCAATAAGCATTAAATTTTCAATGCCCACATGGGTGTCAAAATGTTTCTCCATTTCCCACAATTATAAACCATTATATGTAAAATGGACAATCTAAACAAATTGCAAGAAATAGTCCATGATTTGAGTATTAACCTAATACAGCAACAAGGTCACATCAATTTCCAGATATGCATCTGATATTTATGTGATGGTCCTAACCCTAATAGCATAACAACAGAAGCATGCTTATGAATGGCTTCACAGATGACTTGATTAACAGCCACAAACACAATGGTACCTTAATTGTTTTTAAGGATTGGTTAGGTCTGTATCAAGCCAACAAATATTCCATATATATATATATATATATATATACGGAGTATATATTTGGGGTAAATAAAATAAATAATCATCCATTTATTTTATGCGCCACTTATTCGAAATCTTTATTGCTAAAAAGAACCTTTTTGCCAAATATATCAGTTCATGGCCGATTAATTAATAAATTTATCTAATTGCAACAAGGTTTTGCCTCAAAACACAATCTCATGAAAAATAAATAAATAATTAAGGCATTGAATAACCGTCTTTAGCCACAAACATCTATTTTCGTGGCAAGGAATGTACTTAGGGCCACAATTTATTGTTTGTGGCAAAAACATTCATGGCAAAGGACATAATTTCTTGGAGTGGAAATTCACTTCTCAGATAGTAGCATTATCCAAAGTTGTTTTGTAGAGGCTCTTAGACGAGGTTGATAAGGTAGTTCAAACCAACAAATTAAAGGTGCTTCATTTTCCTTCTTTTTTCCCCTTGTTTTTGGACAACAAACTCATTTTCCAGTTAATTAACAAACTCCAATGTTCAACGGCCATAAAAGATCCGAAAACTATGAAAATGGCTCCTCCCTCCCTCCTCCCACACTTCCACCATATCTCAACCACCAATTACTCCCACCACCGCCTTCTCTCAACCACCCACCACCATCATCTCTCAGTCACCTACTACAACCACCACCACCATCTCTTTTTTTCCTTAATGGGTTGATTTTATAAATTTTCAAGATAGAAAAATAAAGTACAAGATACAATAGAGAGGCATACCCCTCTTTACAAAGAAACATGAAATGGAGTAAATTCATTTCCCAACCAAGCTAAGAACCAGCAACAGAAAACATCAAGCAACATCAAAAATAGCTAGAACATCAGCTAGACCAAAAGAAAAGAAATGTAAAACTTCCCAAATGATATCATTTGCAACAGCAGCAGAAGAAGCTTTGACCCCTCTATGTAAAACTGAATTCTCTCCAACCAAATCTTTCAAATAAACACTGAAAATAGCCCCTTCAAAATCTTGGACTTGTTCCCCTTATCATTTGTAATTTCAATCATCCATTCCACAAATAAACTAAGTTCATGAAATCTAATATCGGGAATTCCCAACCAAAGCACAACATGTTGCCATACTTCAACAGCATACACACAATTACAAAACAAATGATTACTTGAATCTTCTTCCTGAAAGCAATTGTGACAAATTGATGGACCATAAAAGCCCCGTCTCTGTAAATTAACATATGACAGATTTTTGTTATGCATAATGATAACAAACACAGCAGCAATCCGAGGCCTGCAAAATTTCCAACACTGGCAACTCCACCTAACCACTTGCCCCCTAGCCCTACAACCCACCTAACCATTTTTCAGACTGAAAGCACCATTAATCCAACTAATTTCATCTTCACCAGCCTTTAGAATTATGTTAGCAATGAAATCAACAGCCTCCTCTAGAAAGAAAGGAGGAAACAACCACCCTCCATCAACAATAAGGGTTCCTGCAGTAGCTTGTTTATCAAAATTTCTAAATATATTGGCACCAAATCGCTGGACCAAAGACAAACCTGCACACTAAGGGTCAAACAGCATATTAAAAGAAGCACCATTTCCAATTTTGTACAGCACATTTTCTTGAATAAAATCCCTAGTATCCAGGAGTTGCTTCCAAATTGAGTCTTGAACCTTTGGAACAACCATCCAGAAATTTTGAAGTTGTAAATATCAAGCATGCATCCACTTCACCCACAGAGCCTCCTTGTTCTTCAGAAAATCCCAACAGATAGAAACTTTTGCAGCAAAATCAATATCAGAAATTCTTCTAAGATTGAAACCTCCTTCTGCACAAGGTAATGTGACTTGACTCCATTTGAGTTGAGACATCTTTCTTGAATCCAATTTCCTACTCCACAAAAAGTGTTTAAACTTTTTTTCTAAAGCAATGATACAACCCCATGGGATTTTAAATCCAAAAACTCAATGATAAAGGAAAGAGTAAAGAATTGATCTGATAAGCTCTATCCTACCTGCCAAAGACAAATTGATTGTGTTCCAATGATCAAGCCTGGCATTAACTTTATCAAATAATCCCTTGCAATCAACAGCCTTTAGAGCCCTATTTGCCAAAGTAATTCCAAGATATTTAATTGGAAAAGCTTCACTTTTCATTTGAAGAACCTGTAAGATCCTTCTCTTCCCTCTAACAGACTTTGAGAAAATCACTGAACTCTTATCTTTCTTCACTATAAGACCAGACACCTCATGAAACCTCTTAAGCACCTCATCAACTGTCTTTACATAGAAATTTCTGCCTTCACAATATGAATAAATCATCAGTATATAAGGCATGAGATACCAACAAACCAGTCTTCTGAACCAAATTACAGAGCTTGATCTGACCTCCAACAATTTTTTGACGCATAAGAGTAGAAAAATGATTAGTAATTAAGGTAAAAAGAAGAGGAGAAAGAGGACAGCCCTGTCTAATCCCTTTCCCAGCTGCGAAAAATCCAGTAGGCACACCATTACACAAAACATAAAACTTGGAAGAAGTAATACATTGCATAATCCACTTTATCCATGTTGCACTGAACCCATAAAGCTAAAGAGTTTTATGAATAAAGTCCCAACTCAAAGAATCATAAGCTTTCCTAAGATCAACCTTCAAAGCCATAACAGGACCACTTGACTTCAATCCAAAAATTTTAATCAAATCTATTACCAAAAGAATATTATCATGAATCATTCTTCCCTTGATAAAAGCAGACTGTTCCAACCCAACAATACTTGGCAAAACAACACTAAGTCTATTTGCCAAGATTTTTTAGATGACTTTAAAAATAAGATTACATAAGGAAATAGGTATATAGTTCTCAAGCTTATCCCCATACTTCTGCTTTGGAATCAAAGCAAGAAAAGTAGAATTTATCTCCATAGGTATCACAGCAGTTTTGAAAAAATACACTATAGCATTAATCAAGTCAGTACCTACAATGTGCCAGTATTTTTGAAAGAATCTTGCTAGAAAACCATCAGGACTAGGGGATTTATCTAGACTAAAGACCATCACAACCCTTTTAATTTCTTCAGGAGTAACCTCCTTATCAAGGTCCTGCAAAGCTTCAGCTTCAAGTTGATTTCTGGGAGCAACAACATCAGTCACAACACAGTTAGTAATAGTGTACAAATCTTCATAATACTTAACTAACCAATCCTTGATCACTTGAGGTTCAGATGATATCTCCCCATTAAGATGCTTCAAACATGTATTTGAATTATAACATCTCCTCTGTTTGACCATATTGTGAAAATAAGCAGAACATTTGTCCCCCTCTTTAAGCCATTTAACCCTTGATTTCTACCACCACAGAATTTCTTCTAAGTCCAAAGTAGCTTGCAACTTCAAATTAGCCTCCCTCTCCTTGGAAATCAATAGATGATTCATAGGATCTTTAAGTAAATCCATTTGAACCATATGTAATTCCTTAGTCACAGTTTGAACCTGAACTGAGACCTTACCCTTTTCTTTGTTCCATTCTCTAACAATAACTTTCACAGCTCTGAGTTTCTTTTGCAATTTGTGTAAAGGGTTTCCCTCAACTGGCTCATTCCACCCTTTTAGCACCAACTCCTCAACCTCTCTTGTTTATTACTCCAGGACCAATCACCATTGTTAATAGGCAACTCCTCCATGTGAATATCTTTGATCACTTGATTAAATTCATCCAAAAGGTATTGAGGCACTCTCAGACTCCCCATTTTTTCACAATGAAATCTAGATATATTCCAGTCACCAATAGCAATCCAAGGAGAATTCACCACAGCAGCTTGATTTTTAAGGCTCAACCATAATTTCCTTCTTTCTTGGATAGTATTGGCAGCATATATAGCAGAAAGAAACACATTCTCACCTAAACCTATATGTCTAACCTTCAAAAACATCACTTGAATATCTTTTTTGATGAGTTGAACTTCAAACACCATAGGATCCCAAGCAATCCAAATCTTACCCAAAAAATGATAAGCATAATTATCTAACCATTCCCATCTAGCATTTATTTTTCTCTGAATTTTCTTAACTTTACCTTGCCTAACTCTAGTCTCAACCAAAGCCACCAAAGAAAATTTATTCTCTCCAATCTAGGCCTTGACAACAGCCTGCATATTAGGTTTATTAAGACCTCTAACATTCCAGGTTCCAAGCATTAAGAAATAATCTTAGTTGGTAATCCACCAACTTGTTTTCCTCTGGTAACCCTATCAGAAGGTGTTGCTTGATATCTTTTCTTGGGTTTTTTTGTTCTTCTATTTGCTCTTGTAGTAGGACATCAATATCTAGACCAGACACTGAAATACCACTTTTATCTCTGCCTGCAGTGCCTTTATCTCCCTCAGGAGAAGACATTGTTGGAAAACTTCAGTGGTTTGTTGTGAATCCTCCACACTCTTCTTAGAACTCACTTCCTTGAAACCCTCTTCCTCAGAGATAATTAAGTCCACAACCCTGATTGAAATCTCAACCCTTTCACCATTATTCTCTAGAGTACAGCTCACAGTAGCAGTGATACCTACAGTAGGGCAAGCTAACTCCACAACTTCCTCAACCTTGTCTTCACCCTGCCCTTCCAACATCTCTTCTTTATCATC